GGGGTTGGGGACCCTAAATGTGGGGGTGAGGGGTGGGGGACCCTAAATATGGGGGAGGAGGGGTTGGGGACCCTAAATGTGGGGGTGAGGGGTGGGGGACCCTAAATATGGGGGGTGAGGGGTTGGGGACCCTAAATAGGGGAGGAGGGGTGGGGGACCCTAAATATGGGGGGTGAGGGGTTGGGGACCCTAAATATGGGGGATGGAGGGTTGAGGACCTTCCACATGGGGAACGAGGGTTTGGGGACCTTGGATTTGGGGGACAAGGGTTTGGGGACTCTCCATGTGGAGAGGGGGGTGCTGGGAACCTTTTAATAAGGGGAACAAGGATTTGGGGACCCTCCACCTGGGGAACGAGGGTTTGGGGCCCCTTCACTCCCCTGCCCTGGGGTTTTGGGGACCCTCCTGCTGCTCCTCACCTGGAGCCCACCTGGGCAAGGCTTGGGGTCCCTCCCCTCCCCTTCCCGGGGGGTCTCAGGGGGTTGGGGACCCCCCTCCCCAGGATTTGGGGTCCCCCCTGACCCCCCTGTCCCCCCTCCCCAGACCCTCTTCGCCGGCTACACCGACAACCTGGTGCGGGTGTGGCAGGTGACCATCGGCACCCGCTGAGCCCAAACCCGCCCGGATTCACCCCAAAAACCACAATAAAAGGCGCTTGGTGCAGCTGCAGCCCCCACGTGGCACTTTGGGGGGGGCTGGGGACACAATTCTGGGGACAAAACCCCCGGAAAAGGGAAAAAAAAAAACCCCGTTGGAGTCCTCGGGGTGGGACGTTCGTCCACTTCAGGGTCCAAAAACCCCACAGTTCCCTCCCAAAAAACCCCAAAAATGGATAAATTTAGGATGTGGGGGGGTGATGAACGTCTACTGGAGATTTCCAGAACATCCCTTAATTAATTAAACCCGTTAATTAATTAAATGAGAGGTTTAACGGGGAGTTTCCCACCCGGCAGCTCCAACTGGGCCTAAAGTGCTGGTTTTTTACTAATTTGGGCCTTTTTTGGGGCCTTTTCCTGCCTGGGAACGGGGAGTTGGGATCTGGATACGCAGCTCTGGGCCTGCCCTAATTAATCAAATGATTAATTGAATTAATTAACAAGGATTAGGGAGGATTAAGGAGCTGGTTTTGTGATCTCAGGGGACCCCAACCCCGTTTTTGGGGTAATTTTTTGGGGCTAATTCTTCCCAAATCCCTCCCGGGATCCCCCCAGACCCGGAGCCTCGGCTACAACTTCTCCTTTTTATTTTTAATTATTGACATTTTCATAAAACTAAATCTCCATTTAAATTCTCAATATTTTTTTTTTTTCGGTTTTTTTTTTTTTAGCCAAAAAAATATCCCGACCGAGCTCTGAAAGAAACACCCAACAGGGAATTCCCAAATCCACCAAAAAACCGGGAAAACACACGGGAAGGGGGAGGGGGAAGAGGGGCTCCCGAGTGGGAAAGGATCCGGCTGGAAAACAAAAAAAAAGAGGGAAAATAAATATCCCAAACTCGGGGAGCTCCGGGGGGGGGAAGAGGCTCCTCCCCACCCGTAAAGTGCCAGAGGGGAGGGGGAAAACCGGGATTTTCCCCCAAAAAATGGCAGGGAAAGGTGGGGGGGGGAGGAGGGGGAGAACGAGGGAAGAACGGGAATGTCGGGAATGGGGGGCTCGGGTGAATCCCAAAAAATCCAGGCACCGAAAGAGCGGATTTTGGGAAAGGAGGGGTTTCCAAATCCGGGAGGATTTGGCCCCAAACGCAAAGACCCCCCCTGGGGGTCCCAAAACTCCAAAAGTGGGGAAGGGGGGAGGGAACTGGGAAGCAACTGGGAGGGGGAGGGAGCAGCTCCCAGCACCGGGAACTGGGCTGGGATCCTGGGATCCGAGGGGGATCCACCCCCAGTCCAA